GAGCCTGAAGGTAGGAGCGGCAGCCCAGGCAGGAGGACGAGGAGGAGGAGGAGCCGTCGCAGGATGAAGGATCGGACTCAGGAGCTGCGGAGTGTGAGCTTGGGGGTGGGGAAAATGGGGGGAGGGACCCCAATATTTGGGGAGCGCGTGGGGGTGGAGTGGGGCAGGTGCTGGGTTGTGGGGGCAAATTATGAGACCGGAGGTGGGTGGCAGGGGCACCACAATTTCTGGCCGCACCTGATGTTCCCCGGTGAACCTGCATTTTGGGGACAGTGGCTGGGAGGTGTTGGGGGCCGGAGAGACGCCGGGGGGCCGGAGAGGCTCCAGGGCCTTGGACACCCTACATTCCCAGGGGGGCCCTGGTCTAACCTGGCATGGGGAGAGTGAATGCCAGGAGGGAACTGGAGGGTGCTGTCCGCCCGGCAGCGGATTTCGGGATTGGAAGGATGGGCTGCTACTGGGCCAGGCTGAGTCCAGCAGGACCAGACATGGGGGTGCTCTGGGGAAGGACACAGGTTGGGACCGAGGTGCCCACACCTGGCCGTGAATGAAGTGTGTGTGTGAGTGTGTGCGTGCGTGAGTGCGTGCGCACGTGCGTGTTGCTCCACGGGAAGGGGGCACCTCAGGCACCGAGGGAAGGGGCGGCCTCAGGAGACAGCCAAAGGGCCGGGCCTGAGCCGGGGTGACCCCGGAGGTTGGAGGTGGGGTTGCAGAGGAAAAGGAGGAGGTTCCAGGCCAGGCCGGCGGAACTGGGCTGTCTGACATGGACTGTGCTCTGCTGGGGAGCTGCCCCTGAAAGCCGGGCAGGCGGCCGTGGCCAGGTCTGCAGGCCTGAGAGGCCAGGCCCCGGGAGTCTGGCCCGGCTGGGAGTTGTGCTTGGGGGGCTGGTGTCTGGAGTGAGAGCTGCCGATTGGAGGGGCTGGGGAGAGGGACCTGGATGAGCCTGGTGTCGTGGGGAGGAGGCTGGGGGATGTGGAGAGGTGACCCAGGGCTCCAGGAGGCAGAGCTGACCTGCTGTGGCCCCAGGTCTTGTGGTGAATAATGCACCCGCCCCAGCTCCTTTACTCCGTTTGAGGGTCAGGGAAACCAGGGCTCAGAGATGGGCAGGGACTTGCCCAAGGTCACCAAGCAAGTGAGGGGAGGATCAGCCGGAATGTGGGTTCCTGTTTGCCAGGTTGACACAGGACTCTGCTCTTTTGGCCTTTGAAACAGAGTCTCAACATGAGGTGGGGGGTGGGGG